TAATGTTTTGTATAAATTTCTAATTCTTATGAATAAATTTATACTAAAAAAGTATTTAAATTTAAATTTAACCCGCTGACGCCAAAAAGAATGAACGAACGAACGTCTTCTGCTATTGTTTTTTTTTTTTTTTTAAATAATAAGAATAATAATCTTAAAACGATAGAAATTAAATAAAAAAAAACCGACGGGACGCGTCGATGTTATTACACAATTTTTTCGATTAACCTTAAGGAAAATCTTTAAAGACGCCGAAACTGGTGAAGTGATGCGAATCTGGGCCGATAACCGGAAGTACGTCAGAAAAATCGGAAAAGGAAGGAAACGGAAAGGGAGGAAAGAGGAATGTGTTTTGTATATTGCGAGTGGATTTCGTTGGAATATTTTTTGTTTTGGAAAAACACAAGGCGTTAATTTTAAAACCTTTGATTTTTCCTTTGTCGTTACCTTTTTAACCTTTTTAAAAAACCAATCCAATTATTATTATTATCATTCGTATGTGAATTTTTCAAAATCAAATTTATCATCGGGAGAAAACCTTTTTTTTCGTTTGTTATTTGAAAAGAACAAAAGAAAAAATTTTTGTTTTTAACATTTCTATCAAATTATTATTATTATTAGTTTCGTAAAAATTTTGTATTTGTTTTTTGTTATTATTCGACTTTATTTTTGCCAAAAGGTTTGAACCTTTTATTATTATTATCATTATTATTATTTCCGATAACTTTTATTTATTTATTTGCAAAAAAAGAAAACAAACAAACAAAAGGATTGGTTGGCTGGTTGGTTTCGTTTTTTTTTTTTTTTTTTTTTAATTTTACTAAAAAAATTTTTTAAGATGGAAATTTTTTTGTTTGTTTTGTTTGTACTGAATTAAAAATGTTTGTTTGTTTTTAAACATTTCGCTGATCATCGATCGTTATTTTTTTAATCCATAATCGATCAGAAATAAAATCGATATTAATCAAACGAACACTTAAATTTTAAAAAAAATTATTATTTCGTACTTTTTATTTTTCTTTCGTTTTCTCCCCACCCCCCACGAAAATGTTTGTTCAAATTTTATAGTCTATAACTATAAAAAGTCTATGAAAATATTTTTCCACCTCCCCACTCCCATTCACACTCTCTTCTTGAATATTGATTAAAGAATGTTTTATTATTCAAATGAGAAAAACATAAGATAAAGTTTACATTATAACTTTATTAATTATTAATAATAATAATAATAATAATAATAATAATAATAATAATATTGAAATATCAAAGTAAACCTTTTTACATCTCGTAAGATTTTGCGTTATTATTAATATTATTATTATTAGTATTATTAATCTTTTATGTAATTAATAAATCGATATCTAAACACGTTTGCTTTTAAAGCCGCCATTACCGCCGTCACCACCACCGCCACCGCTACAAAATCAAAAACCGTTACGAAAACGTTTTTTTCTTTCTTTTTTTTTCATCAACTTTTTATTACGTAAAAAATAATTAATTAATCAATTAATTAATAATTTTTTTTACAGCAGAAGAAAATTTAAAAAATTTTTTTCAAGGTTCGTTTAATTTAAATATGATCACGTGATTTTTTTTTTAAAGAAAAATTACCGTTAAAAAAATAAAAAGGATTTGGTTTGCTTATTGTTTAGCTTATTGGAAAGTGGTGGTTAGGGGGTCGTAAAACGAAGGGAAAAAGAATTTTTTTCTGGAAAAATCGGGAGAGTAGAGAGTAGGAGTAATGGATAAAGAATGATTTTGAACCACCGTTTTCGTCTTATCATTCATGATAATAATAATAATAATAATAATAATAATTTAAACGTGGTTTTTTTAAATGTAAAACGTTGAAAGTTCATTATTATTATTATTTTTTTTTTGCTTTAATTGAAAATTTAAATCCTTTGCAAAGCAATTTAGTAAAATGTAAAAAATTCATATTTTTTTTAATGGGTGGTGGTGGTGAGGGGAGGGTAGGGGATCCGCTTGAGGAAGAGTAGAAAAAAAAAAGAAATTATTAAAAATTCAAAGCTTTTTTTTTTTTTTAATTCCAAATGTTTTTCGGATTTCTGACTTAAGTGTGAAATGAAAGCTTCAAGGAAGAGAAGGAGGAGGAGGTGGATGAGGGGGAGAATTAAAAAAATGAAAATGAAAATCCTTGCTGACGCCACATCACCACAAAAAAAATAAAAAAACCATTTCCGCTCCCACCGCCCTCCTTTCCTTCCTCTTCTAACTCCCACCCTGTTGCTTTTATTTAAAAAAAAAAAAAAACAAAAATTCTTTCTCTCTCTCTCTCTCTTTACTTTCCCTCTCTCCCTTTCTCTCTTTAATGTTTTCCGGTTATTTCACGTTTTATTTTTACTTTTTTTAAATAAATAAAAACAATCGATTTTTTTTAAAGAGAAAGGTTGGGGGGAGAGATTAGAGGAGGTTAAAGAAGGATGTCGCGGGATAAAAAGAGGAAGTCGTTGATATTTTTTTTCTCTCTGTCTCTTTTTTTTGTCGCACAATTAAAAATTAATAAATGAAAACAAAAACCTTGAGTAGAAAAAAAAAAAAAAACGAGGGAGTCGCGTTGTTTTTTTTTTTAATATTAATTTTCCTTTAATAAAAAATTAGAAAGAACCTCGTTTGACAAAACGATAACCTTTTGACCTTAATTACAATATATTTAAAAAAAAAGGAGAAGGAGAAGGAGTAGGAGGAGGAAACACGAAAAATAATTTTTTTTCTCTTTCTCCCTTTGTTTTTAACACGTTTTTATTTTAAACTTTTTATTCCACCTTCCCTTTTCCCTTTCTCAACGCACAAACTCACGCACGCACCTCCCTTCCCTTTTAAGCTTCTCCTCCCCCCCCAAACCGCTCTCCATTAAAAGCAAACGATTAGATTTGAAATTTTTTGATGTACGAAATTTTTTTTTAATAATCCGTAGTGGTTTGATGTACGGCCTTTGGGAAAAGTTAAAAAAAATAATTTATTGCGGATTACAATTTTTGTTTTTTCATTTTTTTATTTCGTTGTGAGAGGGACTCCTCGTGTTACGAGGGGAGGGGACCCACGTAAAGTGAGGGAAGAACGTTGAAGTGTTGGTAAAATAGGATAAATTAAAAAGTTTTGTTTAGTATCAAATAAATTTCCCGCTTTATAATTTTGAGTGTATATTTTTTACGAAAGCGTCGAATTTTTTTATTTATTTATAGTTTATAGGCGTCTATAACGTCTCGCTATAAAAATAAAATAATAAATGCTATAAAAATATTTTTTATAAATAATTATTATTATTATTTATTTATTTTTCCCCCCTTTTTTGAGGGGGGCTATTGGGAAAAGGGCGAGAGAAAGCGACAGAATTTTTTTTACTTTTATTAAACTTACGTACTTGAAATAATATGTTTACTCGAAAAAAAAAAATTGTTTGTTGTGGTTGTTTGTTTGTTTATTTTTTGTTTGTTTAATAAATAATAATAATAATAATAATAATAATAATAAATTTTATTTAAAAAACAAAAAAATAATCTCAAAGTAAATTAATAAAAAACAACAACAACGCAAAAAAAAAAAATTTCTTCTTTTTTTGTTTTTCTTTCTTTTTTTTCCTTTTTTTTTTTTTTTAAATATTCTTTCATTGTTCCTTTGACAAGAATTATTTCGAAATACAAAATTATATTTAAAAAAACAGTGTTAATAATAATAATAATAATAATAATAATAATAATAATAATAATAATAATAAGAAAAACGTTTAAAAAAATATTTAAACTCGTTTATACATTTTTTTTGTTTTTTTTTTTGGGGGGGTTTGCTTTTCCCGCCTAAAAATTATTACTATTATTTATTTTAACTCCTACACACGATTATCATCATCATCATTATCGTCATTATTATTTTTATCATCATCGTTATTTTTAATTGTTTTTTTTTTTTTAAATTTATAATCCGAACAAAGCGACGACGAAAGTTTAAAAAAAAAATAAAAATTTTTATTAACCAATTATTGATTTATTAAAAGTATAAGTCATTATTATTATTATTATTATTATTAATATTATTATTACTAATCATTATTATTATTATTGTCGTGAATTTTGTGAATTTGAAATTTCATAAATTTTTTTTTTTTTCGTTAAATTTACGTCGCCATTTTTTTTTTTATTAAAGGTAACGTTTTAAAAACGTCACACAATGATGACGTTTCAAATCCGTTTATCTTTTTTTTTTGAAAAATATACTACGCGCCGCGTTACGTTTGCGTTACGTCATGATGATTCTTTCCTTTTAAAATAATGAGAAAATAAATAAATAATAATAATAATAATGCGTAAACGTCTTAACGAACGAATGATAGTTAAAAAAAAAAAAAAACTCAAAGTTAAAAACTCATCATAAATTTCATACTAAAAAAGTTTTTTAAATAAACTTTAACACACTCTCTTACTATTCGATACGATAATAATAATATTTTGGATTGTATATTTCCTTTTTCCGGTTTACGAAAAAAAAAGGAAAACCGGAAAAGATTTATTTTTTTCGTTGGTAGGGGAGAGACGTTGACGTCTTTCATTTCTTAACGTAATTTGTTTGAAATTTATATCAAAACGAGATGAGAATCCTTCACTTTTTTTCACTCAAGCAGAAATGAGAAAAAAGTCTTTTAATAAATGCCTGAATAACTTTCTCATCCTTCATCTTGAATTTTCTCTCTCTCATTCTCTCTCTTCCTTTCTCTCTCCCCCTTTCTCGCTGTTTTTTTTTTTTTTTTTTAAATAAAAATAATTGAAATAACAATAAAAAAATTTTAATTTATTGATATTTATTTATTTATTTATCGATAATTATTAAGGGGTGGAATGGGGGGTGGGAGAAGAAAAATTTGTCACGTGATGTAAGCATTCAACAAAAAAAAAAAAAAAGGTTATTACCGTCGGGGGGGGCAGGATGATCATGACGTGATCGTCAAAAAAAGGATAAACAAGGATGAAAATTTTCCACGCAAAATGGACAAATTTTGGACAAATCGAAAACGGAAATTGTTTCTGATAACTTATTTGATTTCCGGCGGAAGTAGTCGATTTTTAAAATTTTTTTTTGGAAATGTAAAAAATTCGGTAATGATTAGTCCAAAGAAGGAAGAGAATTCCAGAAAAAATTTCTGGAAAAATTAAATTTTCCGTGTGTGTGTTTGTAAAATTTCATTTTCTGGACAAAGTTTTTTTTTTTTTTTTTATCGATTTTTTAAATAAATTTTTTTTGGTTTTTTTTGGAAATTGTCCATTTTTGGTTATTTGGCACAGGTATCGTGGCATTTTTCAATTTCGTCCCTTTCCCTCCCCCTTACTTCCCACCTCCCTCTCCACCTTCCTTCTTTTCCAAAGGTTTTTTTAATTTTTTTTTTTATTACTAGAATTAGATTTTTTCCGAAGTGTGAGAAAACATTAATTATAACAATTGTTTTTTTTTTCTCTTTTTATTTTCAGTTCCGGTGACTTCCGTTCTCGGAGTTCTCGGCAAAAAAGTTTCGCTACCTTGCGATATAAATTCGAGAGATCCAAAGGATGCTGTGTCAATGGTACTTTGGTTCAAATCCACGGACGGGGAGCCCCTTTACAGGTAAAAAATTTTTTTTATTTTTATTTTTAAAACCGGTGTAAGGGGAGGGGCGAGACGGAAAGAGAGAGAGAGGAGGAGGAGTGTCATATAATAATAATAATAATAAACTGATGTATTTTGGGTATAGGAAAATAATAAGAAAAATTTTCGTTTTATGATTTTCTTTTCTTTCTTTTTTTTTCCCGGAGATTTTTCCCATAGAAACTCGCACGTTTCGGATTTAAACTGGAAACTTTTTTTTTTTTGACTTGTTTTAATTCGTGACTAGATTAAATAAACTAAAAAAAAAGAAAAAAAAGGAAGAAAATAAAAGAAAACAAAAATAAAAAGGAAACGAAAAAGAATAAAAAAGAATAAAAAAAAAAAAAAAAACTGGTAGAATAATTGAAGAATTTAGATTTTGACTCGAATAAGAAAATTAAGAGTTTTTTTTTTTTAAATTTGCTGGAAATTTTTTTTTTTTTTTTTAGAAAAAATCGTTTTTCATTTGATTTTTAATAATAATAATAATAATTATTATTATTATTAATATTATTATTATTATGAGTTCTTAATAGATTTTTCAATTATAATTTATTTTATTTATTTTCGTCAATTAAATTTTTTAAAAGTTATTTGAAAAAATAATCGATGGAACGATTTATTGATTTATTGATTATTGGTATTTTTTTACTTTTATTTTCTTTTCTCTTCCTTTCTCTCTTTCTTTACTTATTACAATTTTTTTCTCTCTCTCCACTTTTTCTCTTTTTCCTTTTTATTATTTTTTTATTTTTCTTTTCTCTTTCTTTCTCTCTCTCTTTTTTTTTTACGTAAAAATTTTTTTGTCTTTTCTTTCTCTCTCTTACTCTTTTTCTTTGCTTATTACAATTTTATCTTTTTATCTGTCTCTGTCTCTCTCTCTCTCTCTTTCACTCTTTTTACCTTTCTTTCTTTCTTTCCTTTTTTAATTCTTTGCTTATCGCAATTTTTTTTGTCTCTCTCTTTTTCCTCTTAACAAATTTTTTCTTTCCTCATTCTCTTCCTCTTTCTTCTTTTTTTCATTTTTAATTTTTTCTCGCTCACTCTCTCTTTCTCTCTCTTTCACTTTTTCTTCTGTATAATATTTTTTTTTCTTTTCTCTTTTTCTCTTCCTGTTTTTACTTTTCACTTTTCCTGTTTTTATAAATTTTTTTTTACTTTCTCTCTCTGTCACAGTCTCGTAACTTATCGCAATTTTGTTTTTCCCTCTCTTCTTTCTCTTTTTTTTTCTCCTTTTCTCTTTATGCCCTTTATATTTTTTTTTTCTTTTCTCTCTTATTTTTCATTACCGTTTCACCTAAATTTCTAGTCTTCAATTATAAAAATAATTTTTTTTACTTTTTATTCATTCACTTTTTCTTTTTTTCTCTTTATTTTTCTCTATTTTCTCTCTTTCTCTCTCACTCATTTCCCTTAAATTTCTTTGCTACAATCGTTAAAATAATTTTAAAAAATTTTTCTTCTATTCCTTTTCGTTTTTCTTTCTTACATTTTAGTTTTTCCATTTTTTTTTTCCAATTTTTTTTTTATAATTTAAAAAAAAAACGTTTATTTTACGTTAAACAATTTCGTAAACCGGAAGTAGATAAAATGAAAAAATTTTGACGTTGTATCCCATGATAAAAAAAAAAAGAAAATTTTTTTTATTTTTGAAATAAAAAAACTTCAAATAAATATCTTGGCAAAAAATGAAAATCGGTTAAAAGTTTAAATTTAAATTTTTCGGGGTTAATGAAACTCTCTTCTGCTAAAAATTCTGGAGTTGAAAACCATAAGCCGCGTCTGGAGATTTCGCTGGAGGTAATTAAAATTATTTCAGTTTAATATCCTGGAGGATGAAAAAAAAAAATTTTTTTTAATTATAAAAATAAAAATATAAAAGAAAAAATTTTTCTTTTATTAAATAAAATCCCAAAAAAAAAATTTTTAACTCTTAATTATCATCATCATCATCATCATCATCATCATCATCATCATCATCATCATCATCATCATCATTATTATTAATATTATTATTATTATTATTATTATTATCATTATCATTATCATTCGAATTTCATAAACAAAAAAAAAAACAATCATTTCCGGTTAGATAATGAAATTAACATGAGATCATTTAATGTTGGGGAAAAAAAAATTTCATTTCAATTATTTCCGGTTTTTAATAATTATTTTTATTTTTAAAAAAACGTTTTTAAACCGTGAAAAAAAAAATTAAATTCGTGTCATTAGGTAAAGTGTCAACAGTTTTCACGATTAATAAAAAATTCATTAACTTCTCTTTCTCCCTTTCCCCCTCCACTCTTCAAAAAAAAAGTTTGTAGGAAAAGAAAGAAAGAAAATTTTCCATCTTTTTTATTCGTTGCAATTTTTTTTTTTTAATAAATTCGACACAATTCTAATGCCATGTTTATTTATAAATATATATATATATAAAAAGATAATTTGATTTTGTTTTTTTTTTTTTTTTGTTAAAAAAAAAAATAAAACAAGAAAATTTGTTTTTAAACTTTTTTTTGTTTGTTGTTATTTACGATATTTAATTATTTTTAATATAGGCCCCTAAATGCGTGACAGCCATTTTGTTTTTTTTTTTTTGTTTAAAAACTTTTGTCATTATTATTATTATTATTATTAATTTTATATAAAAAAACATAAACAAATTTTTTTTTGCAGCAACAACAACAACAACAACTACAAGTTAGAAAATTAAAATTTTCTTTTCTTTCTTTTTTTTTTTTTTTTTCATTTTTCCCCGTCGTCGTTTGTGAAAAATGAAAAATTTTTTTTTTTTTTTCATTTTATTGGGTTGGCAGTCCTGTCCCCCCGAAAGAAAAAAAAGGTCGAAACAAAATAAAACAAATGATTAAAATTGATAAATGAATAATCAATTTTTTGTTTTTTTTTTCTTTCAAAATTTTTTTAAATGAAAAAAAAAAAAAAAATTCATTTTAACGTTTTTTTTTTTTACTGTGTCTACTGCCACGATTTATTTCGTTTAAATAAAAAAAAAAAAAAAAACAAAAAATGTGAAACGTATATATATATTCGTAGGGAACTTTTTCCCTTTCTTTTCTTTTCTTTTCTTTTCTTTCTGATTTAATCACATCAAAAAAAAAAAAATCTCGTAAATTTTTTTTTTCTTTTCTTTTCTTTCTTTTTCTTGCCCCCTGTTTCCCTCCTCCTCTATCTTTCCCTCCTCCCACTCCCACCCCATTGACTCCACCTTTTCTTAAATGGATGCCAATGAAATTTTGAAAATAATTGAATTTTTACGGGTTTTCCTTTGGCGCTGGAATAAAAAAAAAATACGGGTTTGAAAGATGTATGGATGGGGAGGATTGTGTGGGGAAAGGGAGGAAGGAGGTAATGAAAAAAGGGAAAGATTTAAAAAAAAAAAAGTGTAAAATATCCAATTGTTACCTTTTTTTCCTTTCCTTTTCCTTCTTTCCTTTTTCCCTTTTTCTTTTTAACAAAAATAAACTTTTAAAAGATTTAAAGAGGTAATGATTTAAAATCTTAAAATCGGTTTCTAAAAATCTTAAAAAAAAAAAAAGAAAAACTTGAATCCCTCTTTTCTCCCCTTTACCCCTCCCCCACCTCCGGATTCTTTCTCAATTCTTAAGTGAAATAAAATCGTTCCGTGAGAAAAGTCATTTCCGTTTCCGTCCTTTTATTTTTTATTTTTTATATTTTTTTGTAAAATTTATATTTATATATATATATATATATATATTTTTTTTTTTGGTACTTTTTTTTTACTCCTTCTTTTCGTATTTTCTGAGAAGGAAGAGGGAGTAAGGAAGGGAGGGGGTGAGAGAGGAAAAGAAGAAAAAAAAGTAATAGGAAAAGTGGAAAATGTACGTCAGTAAAAAAAAAAAAAGAAAAAGATAAATTTTCTTTAATTCTTTTGCGGATCATTCATTTTAATTTATTTAATTTTTTTTCTCTCTCGTCTCTCCCACTATCTTTCTCTCTCTTTGTCTCTTTTTTCCTTTTTTCCTCTTCCTTTTTCCATTTTCGCATTTTTCCTTTCTTTCAAACCTTTGATTTTTTTTGTCAATTTTATTCATTTTTTTTTAGATTAAAAAAAAAAAAATTACGTAAGCTAAGTAGATTTAATTAATTCCAAATAATTTGATTGGTCGATTTAAACGCGTTTTTATTGGTTAAATTTGTTCGATCGTATCGACCAATCAAATCGCAGTAAATAAAAATAATAATTTAATTTTTTATTTTTATTTTTTATTATCATTATCCTCCTCATTTTTGTTGTTTTTAATATTCGACTTATGGGGGGGGGGGAGAAATTTTTTTTTTGTTTTTTTGTTTCTCGTTGACCTTTTGTTGGCATTGTTTGTTTAAAAAAATTTTTTTTTTTTTGGAATATAAACAAAAAACATTTCGCCATCATTATCATCATTATTGCAAAATAGATTTATTTTCTTGTGTTTTTCATTTTGTTAACTGTTATTTGGTTTTTTATTTTTTTGCCAAGTTTATTATAAAAAGCAACAAACAAACAAACAACGAACAAAAACAACAACAACGTCGCCGGACTCAGCTCAGTCAATTTTTGACCTTTTCTAAACAATGAAGTAAATTTGTGTTGAAATTTCAAAAAAGGGAAGAGAAATAGAAAACGATGAAAGGGGTGATGGTAGGGGAAGGGTGGAGGGAAAGAGAGGGAGAAAGAGAGAGAGAAGGAACGAAGTGGAATAGGTGAAATAGAAAGAAAAACGGGAGCAAAAGGGAATAGGGATATATATATATATATATATAAATAAATGGAACAGGAAAAAGAGTAGATGGAAAAGAGAAACTGTCAGAGAGAAAGGAATAATAATGATAATAATAATAATAATAATTACGCGGACAAAACGTTGCCTGGCCGAAAGCATAATAATTATGTTATCATCATCTCCAAAGAATTTTCCGAGAGTTTCTCTCTCTCTCTCTCTTTCTCACTCAACTCAAAATATTCTTCTTAACGAATAAAATATCAAATAATTTTCTACATCATTTTCTATCTCAGCTTTTAATTAAATCCCGAACAAAGAGGGGATAGAGGGCAGGAGAAGGAGGGTAGAGGAGGGTGAAAGAGGGGAAAGGGAGAGGGGAAAAGAGAAAATGTATACACACGAATGAATATTTAAAGTTTTATAATTGACTAACTAACATTTTATGCCACGAAAAAAAAAAAAAAAGAAAAAAAGAAAACATTTCGATTTCCTTATCCGTTTTAACGTACGCGCGTTTGTTTGTTTTTGTTTAACGCGTTAACATTTAAATTCAACTACGAAACTATAGCGAATAATAATAATAATAATAATAACGTTTTCATTACAAAATCCTCGTCTGAACTCCAAAAAAAAAAAAAAAGAAAAGAAAAAAATAATCTGAGATTGTCGAACGTGAAAAGCATTCGTAAAAAAAACGAGAGAACGAACGATTTCGTTTTCTTACCACCGTTGTCGTCGTCGTCTCCCCATCTCTTCTCCCCCCTCCGTCTCCCCCAACATAAATTTGAACGTAAATCAAAATTTGACTTGGACTATTTTAGAAAATAAACTTTGTGTGCTTTGAATATATAAAAAGATAATAAAATTCTCCTTTTAAAAAAATAAATAAATAACAATAACTCAAAATTAAATATATTTATAAATAAATATATATAGGAAACCCTTAAAAGGGACACCTATAAATAAATACTCGAGAGAATCTATAATTAGAAAATTTTATCTTGGTTGTTGTTGCTGTTGTTTGTTGTTGTTTGTTGCGTATTTTAATATAAATTTTATACAAAAACCTTATTTCGAATTCTTTATTAAACTTTTATTTTTTTTAATTATTATTATTATCATCGTTGTCGTCGTCGTCGTCGTTTGTTTAATAAATAAATAGATTCGAAATTTTTAAATAATTTTTTTTATTTTTTTAAATTTTACTGATTTTAATTATTATTATTTTTAAAATTATTTTAAATTTATTTATATTAATTAATACTGATGATGATAATGATACGGAGATTAATAAATTATTATTATTATTATTAATAATATTATTAATTTATGTATGTATGCGAATTTAAAAAAAAAAAAAATCGAATCGAATTTGATTTAATTTTACTCTCTCTCTTTCTTTCTGTCTCCCTCTTTGTTTTTTTTAACAAATCAGTGTGGTATTTATTGACGTTCCCCTACTCTCCCTTGTCGTCGCCGCCCCGCCCCCCGCTGATAAATAAATTAATAATAATAATAATAGTAAATAAATAAATGATGGGACCGCAAATATTAATAATTTGGTTTTGAATGAAGAAAAAAATAATAAAAAATTGATTTTTAGAGACCCCTTTAAAATTTAATTTTTAGCACTTTTGACCGCTTCTCTCCCCGCTCCCCTCTTTTCCACCTCTCCCTTCATAATTTTTTTAAAAAAATGGAAAAATAAATTTTTTTCTTTTTGGAAAAATCAATCGGGGATCGATAAAACTACGATTTTTCTTTTTTATTTTTTTATTATTAAAAGAAAAGGAAGGGGTGGAAGTTCGGCGAGGGGAGGGGAGCTATTTACTCCCCTTTATGAAAAATTTTCAATTTTTTCACCGACGACCCTCTCCTACCTAAGTTTCTATTCCTTTTTTTTTTTTTTTAAATTTTTTCCTTCTTATCAATTCTCTGGACACGCAGGAAAGAGAGAGAGAGAGAAAAAAAGGGTAACATTTGAAACAAAATTTACTGCTTTCATTTTGACATTTTGACGACTTTGAAATTTGAAAAAGGAATTTTCTAGAAAAAAGAAAAAAAGGAAAATTTATTTTTATTTTGTGCGTATGTACGTGTGTGCGTGAGTGCGCGCGCTCACACTGACGAAAACTCGTTTGAAATTAAAGTCAAATGTCAAAAATTAATGCAAAAAAATTTTTTTATTTTAATTAAATCGTTTCCCAGGTTTTTGAAAACAAACAGATTTAAAATTTATCGTTAAATATCATAATAATAATAATAATTTTTGGAATATAAACGTTTTCCAGAACTTTCTACCTACGAAAATATATATAAAAAAAAAAAAATGATTTATGTCCGAGTTAAGGGAGAAAAAGAAGAAGAAGGAAAAAAAAGGTCAGAAAGTTATAATTTCGCCTGGAGAAATTTTTTTTTTTTTTTAAAGGCGTTTCGGTTAAAATTTATAAAAAAAAAGAAAGGAAGAAAGAAGGGGGGAAAGGGAAGGGAATATGTGTGCGTTGCCAGATACCCCCCTCGATGACAGTGATGATTTGATTTCTTCTGCTTTTTTTTTTTGTTATAAACGACGGAAACAAAAAGAAAAATCCTTTTTCCAAAAATTAAATAAATTCGCATATGTTTAAACAAAGAGAGTGAGAGAGAGAGAGATGTGGGGGGTAAAATAAAAGGTTCATAAAATAAAATTTAACAATACCGGAAATTCGATTGGAATAATAATAATGATAATAATAATAAAGAGAAAAATATGAAAAAGGAACTGATTCGTTACAAAAGGTTTTTAAAAACAATGGAAAGTGACAAAACCGGGTGAAAAGTGATTTGTTTGAATTAAATCGTGAAGGTCCTCTCTCTCCCTCCCTTCCTCTCTGTCTCTCTGCATTAGAAAAAGGGAAGGAGAAGGGAGAGTGTTTGGGAAAATTCTTTCCCACACACACACACACTCGCATTGTCTCCCCTTAAAATCATTTGATTGTGATTTTAAAAATAATTTAATGATCTCTTTTGTTTTCATTCATTTTGAATTTACCATTTTCTCTCTGTCCCTCCCCCCAACTCTCTCCTCCCCTCCCCGGGAATATAAATAATAAAGAAAATTTGAAAATTTTCACTCGGAGGGAAAAAAGAGACAGACGGGGGATGGAGATAAAATAATGCAACGAAAGTGTGATGAGTAGGTTTGTTCTACTTCTGCGATTTACAAGGAGGGAAGAGAAGGAGGAAAGAGGGGAGGTGGGAAAAGGATGAAGATGACCGGTAGTAAAAAATGGAGAGGGAGAGGAAGGGGAGAGGGGGAGAAGAAGAAAAACAGGTGATGAGTTTGCGGTGATTTTTCCACAAAACTAAAGAAAATCTTATTGAGATCAACTTTTAATGAGGTTTTCCTGGAAGCTGATTGATGATCATCCAAAAGTTTATTATTAAAACCTTTTCGAGAGGTTTGAAATGTATTCGGGAAACGGCTGGAAAAACCTATTCATCATTCTCTCTCTCTTTCTCTTTTTCAATTGGTTTTCTTTTTCTATTAGAGTAAATGCGAATGAAATTGTAAAAAAAAAAGGTGGGAAGAAAGGATGATGATTTTTGTTTTTTTCTAAAAGGTTTTACTTTTTACGTATTATTTACAAAAGAAACTAATAGTGTCCGCTTGCCCCCCACTCTTTTTCCTCCTCCCCACTTTTTCCTGTTTTTTTTTTTGCGAACTAAATTAATCAAAATTTTCCGAAAAAAAAGTTTTTTGTTTTAATTTTGTAATTTTATTTTTGAAAACAAAAACAAATTTTATTCGTATACCTTTTTCGTTCGTAGTACCTTTTTCGAAAGGTTCGAATTTTAAAAATTTCTAAAATGCATTTACTCCGAACCTTTCGACTTTAACTTTTTCATCGTTAAAAAAAAAAATTACTTCCTGTTTTTCTTTGTTTTTATTTTCAAAAAAAAAAGAAAAAATTTTTTTTTTTTTTTTTTACCTTTTCTACTACTTTCCCTGACCCTTTCGGGAAAAAACAAACCTTTTCGAGTTTTTTTTTTAATTTTTATCAACTTTAACTTCCGTTTTCTTTCCCAGATTCGAAATGAATGACTTTTTTTCACCTTTAAAAATAAATCTTTCGGGTGGTTCGGGGGAAGAAAAAAAAGGAAACAGCGAAAGAAAAAAAAAGGAAATAAAAATGATCTGCAACCTTTTTTTTTTTTCATTACGCGATTTCCCCCACCGCAGCCTTTTTTCACTTCCTCTTTGAATTCGTCTGCTTTTACTGCTCTCTGTTTCTCTCTCTCTTGTTATTTTATATTTTTACACGGCGAAGACTTAAATATAAATAAATTTTGTCCAAAAAAAAAAAAAAATTTAAAGGTAAAATGTTAAATTATACATAATAAATTTTCGTGACGTCACTTCCTAAAACTTTTTATTATATAAATTAAGTTTCCGCATGAGCATTTTTTTTCTTTTTTTTCTTTTTCCGACGCCAATATGAGAGTAATAAAAAAAAAAAAGTGAAGTAAAGAACAAATAATAAAATATGAGTAATTATAAGTCAGGAAAACGTGTCAGCAGTAAATATTAAAAGTAATACATTTTTAGAAAAAAAAAAAAGAAACGTCAGCATTTCAGGTTTTTTTTTTTTTGTTATGAGTGAAAGATAGAATTAGTCACCCTCTTTCTCCCTCCCCCCATTTCCCCGTTCGTTCGTCCGTCCGGTAAAAAATAATCTTCCGGGAAAATTTACACACGAAACGATTTTTCTTTTTTTTTTTCGAATGCGAAAGACGAGAAAGAAAAAAAAAGGAGGAAAAAAAAGTAAATGGCCGTCGGGTGTAAATGCGAGGTGGTAGGGGAGGGTAGAAAGGTAAGAAGTGGGGGCGGTAATGGTAAAACAATAAATCAAAGACTCAAAGAAGAGATGTGTATATATATTGCCATGACTTTTCAGTCATTTTCTACTACTACTACTACTACTGACGTAGAAAAATTGTCTTTAAAAAAAAAAAATATGGCGACCTCTTCCATTCTCTCTCTCTGTCCTCCTCTTCCTCCTCCTCCTTAAGGTCTTTCCGGTGGTTTTTCATATTAAACGTCGACTACGTTCCGTCATCTGCACTGTTTTTTTTTTTAATAAAAGTTTTTCATTTTTTTTTTGTTTGTCACAGCTTCGACGTTCGTGGTAAAAAATTTGGTAATGCAAATACTTGGTCGTCACCGGATCATTTCGATTCTAGAGCTTTTTTTCGGACGGCTCCGACACCCGCGGAATTAGTCGTGGATAATTTACAAATGGACGACGAGGGAATGTACAGGTGCAGAGTCGATTTTAAAAATTCACCGACGAAAAATCAAAAAGTCAATCTAACAATCATAAGTAAGTAAATAATTATTATTATAACTAAACCAGCTTTTGATTTTAATAAATGAAAAACAAACGAACAAACAAACAAACATACAAAACAAACAAAAAATTTTATTTAAACGTTTCGAAACGAATAAATAAATTTTTCCAGGTGAAAATGAAAATAAAAAAAAAAAATCTTCTTTTAAAAGGATTTAAAAGGTACGAATAAAAGCGGGAGTGGGAAGGGGGAGAGAGAAAGGGGAAAAGGTCGATAAATTCAATCGAATCTCTTCCCCCTTCTCCCCCCTCCCGAAAAAAAAAGGAAAGAAAGAAAGAAACCGAATAACGTTAAAGCTTTGAGAGTGGTGATAGATTTATTAAAAAACCTGTTTTTAACTTGGGAAAAAAAATCTAATAGGAAAAAAAAAGAAAAGAGTAGAACGTTCTAGAAAAACGTGTGGGGAGCAAGGGGGAGCGGAGGTGAAGAAAGAAAAAATAAAAGAGTAAAAATTGCTAAAAAAAAAAAAGGAAAAAAAAAAAAGATCTTAACGATTCTTCTATGATATCAAAAGAGATTTAACGAAATCGTTTTTTTTTTTTTTTGTTTTATTTTTTTTATATATATAAAAGAAAGCAGAAGACGCAATTTTCTTTTTTTTTTTAATATTATTTTTACGTGTCGAAAAAAATAAATTTTTATTTTTTTCATCCGTGGCAGAAGAAAAGCAAAATATAAAAATAAAAATAAATAAATAAAAGAAAAAAAAAGGGAATGAAAAATTTTTTTAGTTTAGTCTTATAAATGTGATTCGATTGATAATAATCATTATTATTAATTCGATAATAATAATGATAATAATCGTCGTGTGATAAATATCGATGTATCGATAAAAAATAAAAATCGATTTATTATTTATTGATTTGTATTAGAAAACGGTCAAAAAAGGGAGTAAGGGGAGGAGTTACGTGAATTTATATAAGATTTGAGGGGAGGAGGAAAGAAGAGGAGGATGTGATAAAGTTTTCTTGATTCGTAATCTGTTATAATATTCTCAAAGACTTCTCCCCCTTTTACCTCTCCGATTCAAAAAGGGAATAAAATTTAAATTTTGAAAATTAAACAGATAGAGACGACAGACAGACAGTCAGAGATGAAAAACCGAAAAGTCTTTTCCAGACCATTTCTTTCCTTAATAAATTAAATGATTTGTAAACGTTTATAATTTTCGCCACGAGGAAATTGGGATGATGATCAAAAGAGACATTTACTTCCTGTTTCCGCTTTTCCCTCATTTTCCCTTTCTTCCCCACCCACTTCTGCCGCCCTCCAAATTAAAATTTTCCATCAAATTTCTTTCTATTTACTTCAAACCAATCAATTAACAAAAGTTTTTAATTTTTTTTCTTTATTTTTTTCTCCCTTCCCCATCGATTCGTGTACCTTCCCTCCCATTTTCACCCACCCCACCGCGCACTCCCTCACCCCCCTGATCGTTTAACGTTTTCGAAATCGCAACAATTGGAATATTTTGAAAAAACCAAAAAAAAAAAAAAAAAAAAAAAAAAAACGCGAGCGCGCTTCGTTTGTTTAGATTTATCCTTGTAAAATATTTTAAATGGGGGAGGAGGGGGCGGGGAAAAAAAGAAAATGTAAATCGTTTTTGTTTTTCCAGTTTGTTATTCCCGTAGTTGTAACGTTTTATGGAAAAAGACATTTATTTAAAAAGAAAAGAAAAGAAACAATAATAATAAAGAAACTTACTTTATAGTAAATTTTGTCGTAACGATACG